GATCCAGATCAGTTCGGCCAGGACTCGGATGCAAAGGAGGACTCGATCCACAGCGCTATAGAGCACAACCGCGGCATGGCACATCGCAGTTCAGCACGGTGCAGCACAGCACAGCCTTCGGCACGGTACATCAAGATTAATACATTCAGCATTGCAATTGCCCGTCGCCCAATCAGGTGTCTTGAACATGTTGCCATGTCTCGCATTTCTATGTTCCTTTCCGGGTTCGTGGGTCGATCATGTCTTTGTCTAGGGTCTTGCGATAGTCCAGGTGATCGGGCTCACCCCCCACCCCCTGGATAAACGCACATTGTTGGTCGAGCAGGTTGAGGGTCCAGACATATCTCTCGGCATCCCCTGACGGCGCCCGCATCGTCGCAGCACGAATGGTAGCATCGGCGCAGCATCGTTAGCAGCTTTGGGGGCCGCAGCACTTGTGCGCGTTGGCATTCGCAGGGCGGCCCACAGCGCGAAGATTGGGTTATCGGCCAGCCCCACCCCCCCGGATAACCCGGATTATCGCCGTTGCAAAAAAAAACAGCCGACGGCATGTTCCCCAAGCAGTGTTTGCAGCTAGGGATGATCATTTCTGTCGCCAAGAATTACTTGAGTTCGCCAGACTTCGGGTTTGCCGACGCTTTTTGACGGGCCCGTCCTGAGATGTTGACGGTCTGGTGTGCGTGGGACGTTTGGATGGGGAGTTCACGTCAAATTGCAGATTGGGTCTCGTCATTTTCCCCCGTCAGGCCAACCCGACTCCCCCGAACCCGAGTCTTACGATTCCCCGAAATGAGTTTGGAGATGTTTCGCCACGACGCCGCCTCGTTGCCGCCTCGTTGCCGCTTGGCGGGATGGGTGTGCTTGGCGAGGTTTCGCCACGGTGCCGCCCGTTGCCGCTTCGTTGCCGCTTCTAGCTTGCGCCACGTAAATTCTCTTGCTGACATAGGATCTACCACCCCCCGACGCCGGAGTTATCCCCCCTTGGGGATGTGCAGTGTACATTCGATTATGCCCCGTGGATCATGCGATATGTGAATTGATAACATCCCAGCCGAGCAAGTATCCCCCCCGCCCCCGCCAAATAATACTATGCGCGCAGCCGTTTATCAACAACCGTCCGTTTGCAAGAACGCCATTGAACAACAACAAATTACGCACTGCGTGGAGCTCCCCACATGCGCATCTCATGTTTTATGTCATGCCATAGCGAGCGTCAGTTCATGAGCGCACTGACGAGCAAACCGCCTGAGACGTCCCCGCAAAATGGCCGCGAGCGGGCCCGTGTCCTACCCCTTGGCGGCTCTCCTTAGGGATGCGTGTTGGGCATGAAAACGAGCAAACCGCTTGAGACATCCCCACAAACTGGCCGCGAACGGGCCCGTGAAAACACCCCTTGGCGGCTCCGTGCTGAAACCAACGCCCCGCCTGAGACATCCTCAGAATTTGCTCTGAAAGCCAAGGATGTTAGGCATGAAAACGAGCAAACCGCCTCAGACATCCCCACAAACTTGGCGCGAACGGGCCCGTGAAAACAACCCTGGCGGCCCCCCTTAGGGGTGCTGAAACTAGCGCCCCGTCTGAGATGAGACATCCTCAAACTGCTTGGAAACCCAAGGATGTTGGGCATGAATAGGAGCAAACCGCTTGAGACATCCCCACACATTGGCCGCGAACGGGCCCGTGATATACCCCCTGGCGGCTCCCTTTAGGGGTGCTGAAGCCAGCGCCCCGCCTGAGACATCCTCAAAATCTGCCGTGTGTTGAGTGACTCAGGCTATGAGAAGGTCTGAGTATGTGTAGGTCTGAGTATGGGTAAGTATGTGTCTGAGTACGGCTGGGTATGAGTAAGTCTGAGTATGAGCAAGTCTGTCTATGTGTACGTCTAGGTATGAGTAAGTTTGAAACCAGCGCCCCGACTGACACATCCTCCAAATCGGTGGGCACCGAAACAGGCAAACCGCCTGAGACATCCCCACAAACTGGGCGCGAACGGGCCCGTGAAAGCACCCCCTGGCGGCTCCCCTTTGGAGTTCTGAAACCAGCGCCCCGCTTGAGAAATCCTGTAAATCTGCTGTAGACGCAGACGCTGTTGGGCACCCAAACAGGCACACCGCCTGAGACATCCCCACAAACTTCCCGCGACAGGGCCCGTGGTATACCCCCTGGCGGCTCCCCTCAGGGGTGCTGAAGCCAGCGCCCCGCCTGAGACATCCTCAAAATCTGCCGCGCTCTGAGTAATGGTAATTCAGACTATGAGAAGGTCTGAGTATGTGTAGGTCTGAGTATGAGTAAGGCTGCGTATGAGTACGTATGGGTATGAGTAAGTCTGAGTATGAGTAAGTCTGTGTATGAGTGAGTCTATGTATGTGTACGTCTGGGTATGAGGAAGTCTGAGTATGAGTAGGTCTGAGTATGAGTAAGTCTGAGTATGAGTAAGTCTGTGTATGAGTAAGTATGTGTATGAGTAGGTCTGTGTATGAGTACGTGTGTGTATGAGTACGTCTGGGTATGAGTAAGTCTGAGTATGAGTAAGTCTGTGCATGCGTAAGTCTGTGTTCTGGGTGTGTTCTTGTTGTCTGGAGTCGGCGGCGTCCAAGAAAGTATTGCTCACTGCGTGGAGCTCTCCATATGTGCATCTCATGTTGTATGCCATTCCATAGTGAGCGTCTGTTCATGAGCGCTTGACTATAATAGCGCGTCCACATGGGCGGCATCGCACGCCTCGACGCCTTCCTCCGTGCGTCCCAAAGCGCACGTGCCGGAGCACGACCCAAGGGAGCAGCACGTCTCATCTCCTTCCTCGCAGCACGATTACGAGCAAGCCGCCTGCGACATCCCCGCAAAATGGCCGCGAACGGGCCCGTGTCTTACCCCCTGCGGCTGTCCTTCGGGATGCTGAGACCAGCGCCGCGCCTGAGACATCCTCAAAATCTGTTTTGAAAGCCAAGGATGTTGGGCATGAAAACGAGCAAACCGCTTGAGACATCCCCACAAACTTGGCGCGAACGGGCCCGTGAAAACACCCCCTGACGTCTCCTCTTAGGGGTGCTGGAACCAGCGCCCCGCCTGAGGCATCCGCAGAATCTGCTCTGAAAGCCAAGGATGTTGGGCATGAAAACGAGCAAACCGCCTGAGACATCCCCACAAACTTGGCGCGAACGGGCCCGTGAAAACACCCCCTGGCGGCCCCCCCTTAGGGGTGCTGAAACCAGCGCCCCGAGCAAACCGCTTGAGACATCCCCACAAACTGGCCGCGAACGGGCCCGTAAAAACACTTCTTGGCGGCTACCCTTAGGAGTGCTGAAACCAGCGCCCCGCCTGACACATCCTTTAAATCTGCTGTAGACGCAGACGATGTTGGGCACCCAAACAGGCGAACCCCCTGAGACATCCCCACAAACTTGCCGCGAAAGGGCCCGTGGTATACCCCCTGGCGGCTCCCCTTAGGGGTGCTGAAGCCAGCGCCCCGCCTGAGACGTCCTCATTGAGACATCCTCAGATTCTGTCGCGTGTTGAGTAATAGTAATTCAGATTGTGAGAAGGTCTGAGTATGTGTAGGTCTGAGTATAAGTAAGTGTGTGTATGAGTACTTTTGGGTATGCGTAAGTCTAAATATAAGTAAGTCTGTGTATGAGTGTGTCTGTGTATGTGTACGTCTGGTATGAGTAAGTCTGAGTATGAGCAGGTCTGTGGATGAGTGAGCCTGAGTATGAGTAATATTGTGTATGAGTCAGTCTTTGTATGCGTAAATCTGGGTATGGGTAAGTTTGTTATGAGTACGCCTGGGTATGAGTAAGTCTGAGTATGAGTAAGTCTGTGCATGAGTAAGTCTGTGTTCTGGGTGTGTCCTTGTTCTCTGGAGTCGGCGGCGTCCAAGAAATAACAATAACTCCATCTCTGGATATGGAGAACAAAAACCCACCTTAGGATATGGAGAAAAAACGCAGTGCACACGCGCGCGTCGACATGCGCGCATGCCGAAGTCGTTCAGAGGTTTAGGGCCCCTCAAAAGATCAGAATCGAGGGCCCCGAAGACACAAACACACATGGTTTTACAACCTGATTGTTTCAAACATGGTCTGCGCGCACGCTCTTGCTCCAACACATGCGTTCGAACGGGCCTCTCGCGCGCGCGTGGCGAAACCATTCGATCGCCCTTGCGCGCGTGCTGGGAGTGCATGAGTCCTGTCAGTATAATACCATGCGAGCCACTCCCGCCCGTCGGCCGCGCGCGCATGTAGATTTGTTCCCAAAACCTTCACCACCGACTCGTGGACACCATCATCGTCATCGGCTCCATCAGCATCGGCACCGTCATTGGCCTTGCTGTCGTCGTTGTCATCGTCGTCACTAGCATCGTTAATATCATCATCGTGCCTGCTGTTATTGGCGTCGCCGTGATAACGCGGTCGCCCGAGCCACCGACTCGCACTGAAGTGCCCGCGCGCCAGCGCGGCCTGCGAGACGCGTCTGGGAAGTACCCAGCGGTCAGCGCCAGCCGCTAGCCAGCGCCAAGCAGTCATCGCAATCGCCGTCGCATGGGGCTTGCAAACCAAATTGCGGGTGGGGGGGTGGGATGATTGTGCGAGCAGTGGAGTTGTTCGGCAGGGTGAACTGCACCACATAGTTGTGCAGCTTGCACCATACAGCTTACACCACAGTTTGCACCACGCAGCTTGCACCGCATAGCTATTAGGGGCGCAAGTTGGCTATCACATGTTGCTATTAGTTTTGGTTTCTGGGGGCTTTCGCCGAACCCAGGACCGTCAACGAACGACTCGGAGATGAATAGCGTGCCCGGGGGAAGTGACGGGGGGCAGCGCTAACAGGGTCAGTTCAAACGTTGCGAGATCCGCTGGCTGACCCGGGCATGGAAGCCACCTAGGCCAGATCCGTCTCCCTTGCTCCGGTAGCCCGAGCTACTTTCGTGGCTGGCCCGCGTTCGCGACATGGCCTTGGCTGCGATGGGTTTGCGCTGACCCAGCGCGTCTCCGAGCCAGGTCCACCAGTACATGGACAGGGTATTGCAGCTGTTCCTGGGCACGCTGAAGAGGAACGGCTGTCAGGTGGGTCGAGGGGTTGAGGATCAGCACGCTGTTTGGGCGCTCTGATGACTTTGCTGTGGTTGCCAGCGGAGACCTCTAAGGAGCTTCTCCAGTCTTAGACCTCCGAGGTCGTGTCTCTTACAACGAGGGTTGCTTGCAGGGGCTTCTTGACAACCTCTCGGGAGTTGGCTCTTCATCCTGAACAGTTGTTTGAAGGCCTCTCGCGAGGACCTCAGGAGGCCGAGCACTACCAGAAGCGCCCGTCTTGAGCTTGGAAGTCTGAGGTGGCCTCTGGAGACGTCGGTCAGGCCTCTGGTTCGGAAGGCCCCTTGAGGCCTCTGCAGGAGGAGGGGGCCGGGGGCGCAGCCTTGAAGGAGGAATGTAGGGGCCGCATGGAGGCCTTCCTGCCAGCCATCGGAGGTCCCTTCTGCTGAGAAGCCCCCTGCCATTTCTGGACGGCCACGACCTGGGGGCTCATGTTCCTGAGCAGGGGGCCCACCGGCTTCGACAACCCCTCTCGAGGCATCTTCGATGAGATGGTGTCTTTCAGGGGATGCGCTCTGCGTTCGGTATGCGTGGGGTGGGGCTCGCCTTGTCGGATCACTGCGCCATGACTGTTTGCGCCTCTGGCGCGTGATGCTTTCGGCCGGGGTGGTGTCCTCCCCCGACGCGCTCACCTGCCTCAGATCTTCGGGACGCGGCCGCCCACCAGGCGAAGCTTCGCCACGCCCGTCCAGCGCAAGGGGCGCACATGAGGCGCCCACAGCCGCACACCAGGCGAAACCTCGCCACACCAATACAATTATGGAATCGCTTCGCTCAGTTCGCCGGCCCGTTTCCCATCACTGGCTGCGTGGTGGTGTGATCGCGCCCAGGGGAAACAGTAGTGCAGACAGGAGTGTCCTCGAGGAAATCTTTGGAGATGTGGTTTCCACCCTATCGAAGACAGTCAATCGACTGTCCCAGAGGGCGCCAAGATGTCTCAAGAGAGCTCCAGAAGATTTTCGAGACGTGAATGGGTTTTGGGTCAGAGAGCTCATGGATGTTTCTTGGGGTCTCTTCGTAGGGCTTTCGGGAGCCTCGGGGGATCAGTTTTGCCGCTTCTGGGGAGCATTTCGGGGGTTTCTTGGGGACCTTCCTAGGGTCCTGTTGGGGATCTTGGGGCCCTCTTTTGGGCCTCTTGGGGGCTCTTGGAGGGCTCTTGAGGGCCTCTGGGGGCTTCCTGGGCGCCTCTTGAGGCCGATTCGGGTTCCCCCTCTAGGCTCCTCCTTGGGGCCATCCTGGGGCCGTTTTGGAGGCCTCTTGGGCCATCGTGGGCCCTCGTGGAGGCTTCGTGGGCCGTCTTGGAGCGATCTTGAGGCTTCTTGCCCCGTCCACGGCGGTCGGCAGCTCGAAAAGGAGGTACCGCCAAAATCGTTCGAAAACTATGGGAAATTCCGGTTTCTGCGTTTTCGGGGCCTCTCGAAGTCCTTTTGGAACCCTCCTCGAGCGTCTTGGGCGCTTCTTGGGCCGTCTTGGGACCAACGTGGGCTATTTTGGAACGCACTTGGCCTAGGCGGCCGTGAGGCCTGCCACCCATTTGGCGCCTCATTGGGGCGCTCCAGGGGCACCAGGCCGCGCCCAGGAGTTCCGGCATCTCTGACCCGACCCTGCCAGGAACCTGCCGGGACTTGCTGGGACATTGCCGGGACCTTGCCGGGGTGCTTGTCGTCAGGGGACCTTCAGAGGCCGCCTCGCGCGCGCGCGAACTAGAAACATTATTCGTAAGGGCTTCGCCCCATGCTGCTGGCCCCCTGTCTCGGATAATGGGAGATGCAAAAGCTAAATCATGAGGTCTGGGCGCCGCCGTGAAGCAGTGTCGGGACCTGTTTGTTTTTGGACCCTGACCCTACGGATCTGCGTCATGGGTGCCACCGAATTTTAGAAATGTGGCAAATCCCATATGTGTTTGGACCCTGACCCCACCGATCTGCATGAGGGGTGCCACCGAATTTCAGAAATGTGGCAAATCCCCTGTGTTTTTGGACCCTGACCCTACGGGTCTGCGTGAGGGGTGCTGCCGAATTTCAGACATGTGGCAAATCCCAATTGTTTTTGGACCCTGACCCTACGGATCTGCGTCACAGGTGCCACCGAATTTCAGAAATGTGGCAAATCCCATATGTGTTTTTAGATCCTGACCCTACGGATCTGCGTGAGGTGTGTTGCCGAATATTAGAAATGTGGCAAATCCCTTTTGTTTTTTGGGACCCTGACCCTACGGATCTGCGTCACGGGTGCCACCGAATTTCAGAAATGTGGCAAATCCCCTGTGTTTTTGGACCCTGACCCCGCCGATCTGCGTGAGGGGTGTTAATTTTTACCCACCCCAGCAATTCAGAGCACACGCTCAGGGCGTGGTAACAATGCGCGTTTTGGGCCTCCCCTCCTCGCGCAGTCCATCAACAAGGAACAGTAAGCAGCAAGAAGCAGAACTGTAACAGTGGAAACTGGAAGCTGCAACTGGCACAGGAAATTGCGAACCTTCGCCCTACAGCCTGGTGGCCCCACAAGGGGGCCGGCGGATTAAATTCTTGCCCGAGATTTTAGCAGCCATCTGGCCCGTTGGGCTGGCGAATTGATCAAACGCATTAAGAGACCTTACGCGCAAGCAGCGTTTGCAGAAACATTGCATACACATGAACGTGGCGGAGGTCCGCGCTGCTTCCTTGCGTTTCCGCCGGACCTCCCTCCCTAGCACGCGGAGCGCGCCACGGGCGGAGTTGGAAGCACCGCCAGGGGAGTCCAGCGCCGATCCAAGAATCCCGCGCGTGCCTCCGAAAGTTGATGCTCATGCTGTTTGTTGGCCGTTTAGTCCCATATGGTTCTGTCCGTTCTCGTTTTGTGCCGTCTCGTGTCTCGTCTTGCCTCCTTCCCGTCCCCTCCCTGGAGCCCTGCCTTCCTCCTTCCTCCTCCCTCTCCCCCAGGTCTCGTGGAGGCCTGGGTCCCTCGCAGGAGGAGCAGGACAGGTCCTGGTATCGCTCGGACGTGAGCGTTTTCTTTCCGGCGAGGATCATCTTGGATCACTGTGCGAAGAAATGCAAACATGAAGCCGAGACATACACGGGGAATGGACGTCCGAGCGATGGCAAGAGGTGGCGAGCATCACGATGCACCCCGCCTCCAATCCGTCGAGAGAGAGGAGAACGCATGAACCAAGCTTCTTGAGGTCTGCGCGTCGTCCTTGGGTCTGCGCTGCGCCTCTCGCGCCGTCCCTGTCGGCTCAGAGGGGGTGTCTAGTGCCGACTCGTGGCTCTGCGAAGGTCTCTGTTCGTGGAATTCTGCCATCTTGCGTTCCTCCTCCTTGCTCCCCCTCATCCCTCACCCCCCCATGGAGATTTCTGGCGGCTGGCACGACCAACATTCGTGGCAGAAGACAACGTTCCATTGAGCATTGGAAGGGCTGTTTGTGTCAATCATATCCCCGTGAACGCTGGCGCGTGGATCAATTCAGACATGGAGGCTCTCTTCGGTCGACGCTTGCGCTGGAGAAGAAGCTTGGGGGCCTACACAAAGGCCAGCAGTGGTTCCCCTCCCTCTTGCTGGAGGTCGTGCTTCTGTTCGATACCCGGTCCCTAGACCAGACCGCTGGCCCCTGACCCCAGGGCCGTTTTGGTTAGTCTGTCCACATTTGTTCAGCTTGTATTGCTGTCTGGCGACTAGATGCCCAGGAAGGCTCTCGCAGAGGTTGGAAATAACGAGAAACCGATTTTTGACCACGGCGTGAGGGGGTCTGGGTTTCCCGTTGGAGGTGATCCACGCCTCGTACAGCAAGGTGCTGTTCGCCACCGGGAAGCTGCAGGTGCTCCCAGACGTGCAGAACTTCTGGGCGGTGCGCCCGTCTCGCGCGTGTGCTCCCACGGCGGCGGTGGCGTCGACGACGGCGGCGACGACGACGACGAAGAAGAGGAGGACGAGGAAGACGTTGGGGCCCTCTCAGTCGCTTTTGGGGGCCCCTTGAGCCTTCTTGAGGCCACCTTGGCCCGTTATGGAGCGTTCTCAGGTCGTCTGGACAAGTGGTGGGCCGCCTTGGAGCTCTCTTGGGCCCGTCTGGAGGCTGTCTTACGGCCTTCTGGAAAGTCTTGGGGATGTTTGGGACCGTTTTGGGGCCCGCCCCTTGGGGTGTCTGAAGCTGTCGGAGGCACGAACTCGGAAGTTAAAACAAAAAACTATCTAAATCGAAGATGGGATCAACTAATGTTGCTTCTTGGGGCCCTTTTGGGGGCCCTCCTGGGGCTTTCTTGAGTCCTCTTGGAGTCCTACTTTGCTGTTTGAGGCCATCTTGGATTTGTCGGAGCGTGGTTGCCCTTGTTCGAGACTTGTAGGACCACCGTGGAGCTCGCTCTGAACGCTTCTCCAGCTCTTTGAAGGGTCTGGAAGCCCGCGCCTGGGATTTCCGGCATCTTTGACCTGGGCTTGCTTCAGGGCGCCCTCAAGCGGAGATTTTCTCATAAGCAAGGACATTGGCGCGCCCGAGAAAATTGCAGCCGTGAGTCGAACAGTCTTCGTCATTCCTTTTCTCAAGGTGGAATTGTCAAAGTCATGATTTGCAGTTTCCTGTTTCAGGGGGCCTGAATGCCGCGGCTTGCCCAGGATATGTCTCCTCCTGGGACCCCCTGGGCAGCCCCACGCGCGAACAATGGTGTTGCTCTTCCTACCGGGGGCTACAGCACAGATTTGGTATGTTTGGTAAGCGAATCTGTATTGCAAGTGCATGTTCGAAGATCTGGCCACGTCTGACCAGGCCTTGTGCGAGAACGTGAACGAGTCCCGAGCGCTCCAGCCGCTCGCTCTGAACGACCCCAAACGCGTCACGAATTACTTCTACGGCATGATGTGGATGGACCCTGCCAACTGGGCAGGCGCGAGCTCCATGCCAGCAAGTGTTGCCATCCAGCATCCAGAGGTTCTGAAGTCTCATATTTGGCACAGTGCTTGATGCTTTGCATGTGCGAGCTCGCATCCACTCTCTGCCTACCCGTGGTAATGACTCCGTATCGCGCAAATATTTATATCGAGTCGTGTTGACATGTCTCGCGGGGTTGTTGTTAAGGCCTTGTTGAGGTCCTAGCCACCCAGCGCATCGTGAAGTACTCTAAGTATCTGCCTGGTGAAGCATCATCTGCCCCGTGCGTTTCTCCTCCGCGTTCACTTTCGTCCACTGCCACCTCACGTTTCCTTGCACAGGGGAGGAATCGGATTCCCTCGTCCTTTCCCCCCCTCCGCAGACATCCGACGTCGTGCTCTTTTCGCAGCGTGGACCTCAGGAGGTATGGACCTCTTCCTCGGGCCAGGGTTCTCATCCTGTGTCGTCTTCCGACGGCCTCGCGGCCCAGCTGAGGGCCCACAGCAGCCCGCAGATTGGCGAAACATAGTCCGTCGTGATGGTTGCTCACAGCGAGATGGGGCCTGGCCTGCTTTGTTGTGTTCTCGCTCTCTCTCTCTTTCTCTCTCTCCCCCTCTTTCTCTACAGTCAACAATGAGAGTAAGGATGGTAGAATTTCCAAGGGTACCCTTTCGTTTTTGCATCTGTGGTCATCTCCGGTCCATCCTCAACCACTCTCGATGGCCAGCCCCGCTCGAACAGCTTCGACACGGGCCTCCAAGGGGCTTGCATCCTTCTCGCGCATCCTTACTACCAGTTTTGGCTGTCTCTCTCTCTCTCTCTGTCTCCCTCGCAGTGGCCGTTGTGGCCATGGCCACGCCCCGAGCGCGGCGGTGTGTGTGGCGCTCGCAGCCGGGCCACCTCGGAGGGCGCGCGCCGTCCTGACCGCCGAGGCATTTTCTTTCCACACGGGACACCCGGGCTTCCTCGCGGATCGGAGGAGGGAAAGGTACCCAGGCCGCTACCCTTGTCTCGTTTTAACATTTTCGGGGCCTCCTGGGAGGCCTTCGTCGCCACCGCTGGAGTCGCTTCGAGATTCTTGTCAGAACGCACCCCAGGAGAGGTCTGGGGAGTAGCGGTATTGGTACCTTTTGGTTTCCCCAGCGGAAGGTGTTTGCATATTTTTGTCTCTGGGGGCCCTCACCGGGCTGCGGGGCCGTCAGGAAACCACGGAGGAGAAGCCAGTAAGGATTCTGGACCTCCAGGGGTCAGCTTTGCGACGAAAGCGGAGCGATCGATTTGATGGCGGAGCGCCAACAAACAGCCAAGGCACGTTCCTTTGCCAAAGCGGGAAACCGGCGAAACATCATCATGGCGCCTTTTCTTCGGGACCCGTTTCTTTTGTATTATCCGTTTCCTTCTTCCCATCCTTCCCCCTTCCTCGCCTGCTGCTCGTCTTCCTGTGGCCATCCTTGCCGTCATCACCGTCATTCTTGTTGGCATCATCACCGTCATCAATTTCCTCATCATCACCGTCATCGCCCCCATCATCTCATCACCATCGTCATCGTCATCGTCCCCGTTATCTCATCATTCTCGTCCCCAGTGCCGCTCCCCAGTGCAATTTCCTCTCAGGCCATTTCCCTGCTTGCCCCGCCTGGACGGAGCCTTCGGAGCCCCCGCCCAGGCGTTCAGCCATGGCGTGGGGCCCCACGCAGGCGTTCAGCCAATGTGAGTCCACAGTGGAGGTATTTATTGGGACTAGGAAAAATCCCCCAGTCAAGGTTGACCAAGAAAAATGGTCGCGACGAAGCCATTCCTCGCGATGCGCACCGACGGCCAAGACCTGAACCCACCAGGCATCGACAAACCCACTGCCACGAGTCAGAAGGTGAGGAATATGGTTCCATTAGGCGACGAATTGCGTCGTGCTGTCGTGTATGATGTTATGGAAAGAAGCCAGAACACCTCCCCGTTCCTGCGAGCGTCTTTGAGCGCACGTGGGGCCAGGCATCGGCACAACGAGGCGCAGGAACATCGAAAAGAAAATGCCCGAAAGCAGCCCGTGGAGATCGACCTGTTATCGTGGCTTCAATGCTGGGAAAAAACTTGGAAACTGAACGATAGATCGCCGACTTGTCGAGTGAACGCGCGCCCCATGCGTTCTTATCCAATGCAAGAAAATGGCGGCCCACGGCCTACGAGCTCACCAAGGAACAAGCCATCGCCCAGGAAGAGTATCCATTTGCTACTACCATCGAAGGTGTTTGTGGCAGATTCTGTCTGATGGTGAAAATCCACGGTGAAGTTCGGATGAAGTGGAGGGCAGCATGTTCCTCTCCATTGCTTGCGCGTCGTCGACGAGGTCGGTAACCGCCAGGGTTCGTTGCGGCACATTCTCAGTAAGCAGCAAACGAGCCTTGCTCATGACATGTTCACCAACGTCGGGAATCTGCATTTCCGCACTAATTCTCTGGATGCTGAGCCAGGGGTTTTCCAGGACTGGGTCGATGCAACTGCGTTGTAGAGGCGGAGGCGGCGCGGGGCAAAATGAGCGGCATGCGTCCGCCAAATCCGCGCGTCCCAGACTCGCGAAGTGTCCAGTCTCTCCCAAATCAGCCATCCGCGAAGTGCCAGTCCCTGCCAAGACGTATCCAAGATGGATTGCGCGTCCCAGAGTTGCTCCAGCATGATTGCGCGATTCAGCAGATGACCGACCGAGCAGAGCACCTACGCGGGGCCTCTCTGGGAGCGCAGGCGAAGGACCGCGCGCCGTCGGGGAGGCGGTCGCGCCCCGCATCGCCAGCGGAGCCCCGTGAATTTCCCCGCTGCCTCATGCCCGCGCGGGCCCCGCCAGCGCCTGCGCCGCTGGGCCCCCATCGCTGCCCCAGGGCTCGTCGTGGACCTGCAGGTCGCAGGCGCCCCTGCCTCTGCCGGCGCCGCCAAGCGCCGCCCCTCGGGCCCCCGGCCGCAAAAGGCTAAGGCTTCGCGCCGAGAATTACCTGCAGGCGATGAGGACGAGGCAAAGAAGTTCGCGGATGTTGACGCGGAGAAGTTCGGGGCGGCGGTCGCGAGGAGCCATGGCGGGGCCCTGCAGGGCTGGGGGGCATCTCGGATGAAGAGCAGGAGGAGTTCGCGGAAGAGTTCCCGAGGAGCTCGCACCCATGGTGGCTTTCGTTTGGGAAGGGCGACTCCGCGGCACCGCCGCCAGACGAGCCGTTGAACCGCCAGCCCGCGGGGCAGTCCTGCGCGCCCGAGGAGGGCCCCCCGGCGCCGTCGTCAGCGGCCCCGAATGAGTGCCTCAGGTTCCTTTCGGAGCGCCTCGCCGCCGTAGAAGAGAAGCGCTGGAGCTGTCGAATGGGGCGCCACCAGGAGGCGCCTTCAATCCGCAGAAGCAGATGATACTTCGCCAGGAGCGGGGCGCGTGGAAAACGCGATATGAGGATGCCCAAGATGAATGTTCCACCATTTTCCACGGTCGCCGCCTCCTGGAGCTTCCCATGGAAGAGGAAGTCGCGGCGCAGGATGCGCTGGGCGACCCTGCCTCTGGATTGGGGAACGCGTCCAAGAAGGCCATCAAGATTGCGATCAGGACGCGGCCAGCGCAGGAAGATTGCCGGCGGCTCTTGTCGAAGAGCCGCGACAACGCCGCTCGCGAGCGACGCCCCCGCGATTGGGTCGTCGAGCACTTGGCCGCCGGAGGGCGCGCCGAGTGGCCCCTGGAGAAACGGGGCAGCAAGCTTAATGCCAGCGCGACGAACTTGCCACTCACCGCGGCGCAGCGGGGCTGGACGGGCGAGAAGTGAGCCGAATGGTGGACGCAGCCGACTGGCCACAAGGACAAGGGGAGGGGCAGGGGCAGCGGATGGGGCGGAGAAGGGGGGGGGGGGGGCGGGGGGCGGCGGGAGGAGGCAGAGGAGAAGAGGTGGGCGAGGGGCAGAAGGATGAAGGGGCGCCCGCAGGACGTGAACGCCACGGGCCTCGACAGGTGGACTGCCCCCCACCGCCCCGCGCGCGCGCGTCTCCGCACTGCGAGCGCGCGCGCACGGCGGCCGGGAATTCGGCCCCGAACATGGCCGAGCGGGCGATCAATGCCCAAACCCGAGGCCGCACGCAGGGGTGCGCAGCATTGCCCTTGGCCTGCGACGGCGGCGACTACCCGCGCAGGAGGGCTGAGCTCGTTTCAAGCTTACTAAGGGCCCGAGCAGACCTGGGGAGCACAGGGGTTCGCAGCGCCACGCCGTTTCTCAGCGTGGCAGCAGCGGGGATCACGGATGTGGTTAAAGTCTCCGTGGAGAACCGCGCATCTCTGCCATGGCGGTGGAGAAGCAAGGTGATTTGCAGTTTGCGAGGGGCAGCGTCGACGACCTCGCAGGCATCGAAGCAGAAACCGATGAACAGAGCGACCCCAACAGGTTCGCTCGGGACAATGGCGAACCGATGAAGCCGCCGCGCTTGGCTCGTAAGATGACGATCCAGAGTCGACACTAGGAACGTGGTGGCATAGAGGCACTGCGTTACGCATGGGCAAATGCACTGGCGTCCAGCCAGGCACTGTTGCACTTGCGCATGCAGGGACACACGCAGGAAGATGTGCACTTGCGCAAGTATGTGCATGCGCGCGAACCGCGTGTTTCAGCACGCGTGCGCGCGCACTCTCTCTTTCTCTTTATATTTCTCTTTCTCTTTCTCTTTTTTGTTTCTCTCTCTTTCTCTCTCTTTTTTTTTCTCTCTCTCTCTCTCTCTCTCTCTCTCTCTCTCTCTCTCTCTCTCTCTCTCTCTCTCTCTCTCTCTCTCTCTCTCTCTCTCTCTCTCTCTCTCTCTCTCTCTCTCTCTCTCTCTCTCTCTCTCTCTCTCTCTCTCTCTCCCCCCCCCCCGCTCTTCCCCGTGCGAGCGCGTCGGGCTTTTCCTCGCGCGCGCGCCTCGCTGTGCGCGCGCTCGTAGATGCGCCCGTGCGCACGTGCGCGGTACCCGCGCGCGCATAGTTGTTTCGGTTCAGACTGCAGCGCTGTTCGGGACAGGCAGGCTGCAATCGGGTGGATTCCGCAGTGCGTCAGGCGCCTCCAGCCACCCGCGCGAGTTCGCTGAAGGAAGATGGGGAAACGCCCCAAGCTCGCGCTCCTCGAGAACACAGCTCCGCGCGCGAACTCGGAGACTCAGGGGGCCGCTGGTCAACGTTGAGAACGCGTCGGGGGAAGCGCTCGCCCAGGACGCGCAGCGCGGCAGCTCAGACCACGATCGACATCGCGCGTTGGGGGACAAGGGCGCCGACGACAGCCAGTTCGACTGAGCGCTTTCAGCCGGGCGGTGATTTCAGCAGGCGTTCAGCCAGGCGGGTTCATCGCCCTCTTACCCCTTCCCGCTGTTCATCCCCCCTCCCGCGGGGAAAAAATGGAGCGATTGTGGCAGCTGGCGCGACTGGCGCAATTGCCACATCTTGCACAGTGGGCGCGGTTCACCGCATAAGCTCACACGCGCGCGCACCGCTGGTGCACTTGGAACACGCGGCACATTGGACACGAGAAAACAGTTCGCAGACTGACACAAATGGCGTGACCGGCGCAACTGTTCAAATTAAAACAACTGGCGCATTTGGAAAACCTAGAACACCTGGCACACATAAAACACCTTGGAGACGGTCGCGACAAGCACAAGCGGCACACCTGGCACAATTTCCGCAATTGCAACGGCTGGCATGCAAGCACGCCTGGCACAATTTGAGCAATCGTTCAAACTGGGACCACTGGCGCATTCAGATCACTTGGCACAACTGGCGCAGGTGGAGCAACATGCAGACTTGCGCGCGGGGCGCGACTGGCACAGCTTGTTTCCCCCTGCCACTCCTCCTCCACAGCCTGTCGGGCTCGAGCCTTTTTCCATTCTAGCGAGCGCACGTATACGCCCGCGCATCGGGCGCGCCCTCCCCCCCCCCTTCCTCACGGCCAGGAGCGATGGGATCGTGGAAGTTGCATTGGATGTGGCAGCCAGCCGACCTGCAGGATCTTCAGTCTCCCAGCAGCCCGCCCCATCCCCCCCCGTCCCCGACCCTCAGTTCGCCAGCGAGCAGGTTGAAGATGCGTCCTGCGTGACCCTCGTCCCGCAAGAACCCGTCGCGCCTGCCGCCGCGACTGCAACCGCGTCGACGTTTTTGAAATCGGGGCGAGGCGGGCGAGCACGGGCCCGCGATGAGCGACTGCACCATTGAAACATCGTTGGGGGAACCTTCGACAAGGGTCCGAGATGACGGAGCAGGCGCGCAGCCAACCGACATCGCAGGCGCATGCCACTTCGCGCTGGCAGACAGACGTTTGGGGCCAGATCGCAAGGAGTACACGTTCGATGAGTTTCGGGGGCGGTACGGCGAGGAAGCATTTACTAAATGGGAAGAGGCGCCAATCGACCCTGATGTCGAGTTGGACCGTCAACCACTACTCAGCCCTTTCCATAAAAACCTACCGGTCATGATGAGCACGATCCAGGACGGAGGGCCAAGAACGAGATCCGGTAAAGTCCTGAACAAGACCAAGAAGGCATGCGGGGTTCCCCAGGCGTTGAGCCACAGAGCGGCATGGGTTTCAAGGGCGTTGGAGACGCTGCAGCGGACTGAGCGGGTCGGCAGGCGCCCGGGAGTTATCTCTTAATCCTTTGTTCTCGCGTCTTTGAGGCGTCAGCGATCCACGCGGTATCAGGAACCAACGCCTACGCCGTCGCGACCGAAAGCACGATCCTGCCGTAGCGGCGTCGACCTATTGTCGCTCCTACGCAACCCCCCACGAGTACAGGAGGTGTTTCTTGACCCTCTCCTCGCGGCCCCCCGTTACGAAGACCCGACCGGGGGCTATCGGACGGGGATTCGACGAGGATCGGTTCGGTCCAGAGCGCTCTGGAGCGCTCTCAGAGCGTTCCAGAACGCTCCGAAGAAGCCACGGGCGCCCGAGACACTTTCCAGAACCGCCAGGTCTCAGAGATTATCGACTTATCCTTCCCCGACTGTATCCTCCTCTTGGCTTCGTCTCAAGCTACGGCCCCACCGCCGTCGCCTCGGTGGCGCGCGCCTGCGCGCTCCGCACGCGGACGCGGCACCTGCGCTCCTCTCGGCTCGTTTCGCCTCGCCGTCTCCCCGCAGCCCCCCCGAAATCGGCGGCGAGCGAGGAGGGGAAGCGAGAAGGAAAAGGCCTTCTCGGAAGGCGGCGGGACTTTTCAGAAGCCCTCGCGCGCACCGTCTGAGAAGCTTCATGCGTCTTCGGAGAGGCTCTCAGAAAACTTGTCAGAAGGCCTGGGGACATCCGAGCCATCTGAGAAGGCCCGCCACTTCTCGCTTCCCCCCCGGGCTCGCCGCCAACAACAGGCGTCCCCATCGACCCCTCCAACGGCGAGGTCCTCTGGAAGGTGTGCAGCCACTGGAAGGCCGCGGAGCTCCTGCCGCCCGCGGTGCGGCCCAGCCTCACGCTGTGCCCCCCTTCCCCCCCCTGCGGGGGCCCGCCGCGCGGCGGGACTGGAACAGACCGACCCAGAGAGGAAGAAGAATTCAGAGAAAGAGGAGGAGGAGGAGGAGGGAGAGGGAGGATGGAGGAGGAGTAGGAGGAGGAGGAGGAGGAGGAGGAGGAGGAGGAGAGGGAGGAGGAGGAGGCGGAGGAGGAGGAGGAGGCGGAGGAGGAGGAGGAGGAGGTGAGGAGGACAACTGGGTGCCCTCGCGCCTCATCTGACATCCTATTCCTCCCTCCCATCCCTTCCACGTGCGCTGATGTTTTCGCTATTCACGCACGCGTGTCACAGCCGATGCGCAAGTCCGACAACACACAACATCGTGTCATGCGCAATCGGAAAAGGTAAGCTGCGTGCGCAGCAGGAGGAGGATGAAGAGGAGGAGGAGGAGGAGGAGGAGGAGGTGGTGGCGGTGAACACAAGGATGAGAGGGAGGAAAAGGACGAGGACGAGCAGCAGCAGCCTGGAGTGGAAGGAGCGGGAGGAACAGGAGGACCAGGGGAAGGCGAAGGAGGGGACATGAGGGGGCGGGGGGGGGGGGAGGGCGACAACGATGAAGAACTATTCGGTTTCAGAAAAGTTGCCCACGCTTGGGCGCGAGCGCCATTCTGAACGACGGGAGCAAAGCGCCGATCCGAAACTATTGCCCACGCTGCAGCGGGAACGCCGTTTTGAAGCACCGACACCATCGGACTGCAAACAAAGACGAATCATCAAATAATGAAATCTTGGTGTTAACACGCCACGCGGGGAGAACTCGCTATCTCCTGGACGGAATCATGGGAGAGATGAAGGTCGTGTTAAGTGTGTTCAATTGTAGAGGAGAGAGGAGGAATAGAGGGAGGAGGGTTGAGGGAGGAGGAGCAGGGAGAGGAGGAGGAGGAGGAGGAGGAGGAGGAGGAGGAGGAGGAGGGGGAGGAGAAGGAGGAGAGGGAGGAGGGTTGACGGAGGAGGAGGACGAGGAGGAAAGAGTCAGAGGAGTGAGGAGGAGGAGGGAGAGGGAGGGGGGAGGAGGGAGGAGGAGAAGGGGGAGAAGGAGGAGGGAGGAGGAGAAGGAGGAGGGAGGAAGGAGGAGGGAGGAAGGAGGAGAGAGGCGGGAGGAGGAGGAGGAGGAGGAGGAGGACCAGTGTAAACCCAAGAGTCATCAACGATGTACCCGTTTGAAGACCCTGAAGCATGCCTAAACATGGTTCTCGGGATTCAAACGCCACGGATCAACTTGACTGTTGCGCCTTGACGATCCTGAACCGTGCCAGAGCGCCATTCTTAGGGCTTCAACACAGAGAATTAACGTAAGAGCTGCACCCGCATAATCCTGAAC